CTATTGTCAACTGTCATTAGTGTCAATGTTTCAAAAAATCGATATAAAATACATGTGTGGAATTGTGTGGAATCACCCTAGGTTTGTTGGGGATAATCGGTTCAAGCAGTTGGCAACGCTGGTTATTGAGAATGGATTGTTAAAGCGCACGTGGGAAAGTGCGGATGGCAGGACAGTAACAACTCAGTTACTGGTACCAATGAAGAAAGTTACCCAGGTATTGGAAGAAATTCACGGTGGTAAAACTGGAGCCCATCTTGGGGTAAACAAGACCTTGAGCAAGCTGAGAGATCGCTTTTACTGGGTGGATTATTGCGAAGATGTTAAGAAATGGTGTCAACGTTGTAAGATTTGCGCAGCTAGATAAGGACCAAGTACTCGATCTGGAGAAAAAATGGAACAAGATAACGTTGGACTGTCGTTCGAAAGACTCGTTAGGAAGGAAAGATTATTGGGAATTCATAAGGCCGTGAGAAGTAAGATTACGCTAGCCAGTGACCGGATGAAAGCTCTTTACGACCTCAGAGCTAATTTTACGTGATTTCAACAGGACGATAGGTTATGGTTGTATAACCCACAGCGCAAGAAAGGAAGGTCCCCAAAGTTAACTCAAGCATGGGAAGGTCCTTATACAGTCATCAAGAGGATAATGATGTTGTGTACCGGATTCAACGCAGCCCTAGAAGTAAGATGAAAGTAGTTCATCTGGATCGATTGAAGAGATACCAGACAGGAAACCCTGATCGGGACGATCAAATTTGAGAAGGGGGCAATGTCAAGGTGTATTACTGGTTGCATAACTGCATACTGCTAAATAATCGCAACGTGCATTGAAGAACCTGGCGCATTCGCCAGAAAGTAAAAGAAAATTATAGAATTCTTAAGAAAATTCCAGAAACCATCGCCAGGGGGTATATAAGGCCTGCGCTTTGACAGTTGGACAAGTCTGAAGATGGTCTGAAGTCTGAAGTTTGAAAATACCGCGAAATACCGTTAGAGTAATAGTAGTTGCATAAGTTGTGTTGTAAATAGTATAAGTTGTGTGTACAGAGTGAAACAAATAAATTCGTTAAGTATTTTATCGTGAGTTTAAATAGTGGACCCACGGAATCCGTAACAATATACTTGTGTTTCTCGATTAGTTGGTGACTCGTTTGAGCTGAGATGTGCTAATGTACGTTGTTTGAAATTAGGTGTCGTCGCTTGCTGTTTGTGGTCTATAATTTCTAAAATTTGACATTTGTTTTTTAGAAACTGTAGGAATTCCTCGAGAGTAGGCGATATTTTGTTATTCGAAATTTCCCATTCTTTTCGCGTGTGGGCATCTAATTTTAATGATATTAAATATATTACTAGTGTATCCCAATGTTCGACGAGTAGTTGTTCAAGACTTGTTAACGCACGAATATTTTTTACTACGACGTCGATTAGTTTACGTAACGATTCATGTGATTCTTTAGCCACGGGTTGCATGTCGAATAAGTTTTTAACGTGATTGTGAATTAAAACGCGTTTATTCTCGTATCTTTCGCGTAATAAGTCTAAAGCTTTATCGTAGTTGTCTTCGCAAATTTCTAACAAATGAAGAACTTGAATTGCTTATACGCGTAGACACCATTGTAAGTAGTAAAATTTCTGTATCTTGGATAGCTCTGGATTTCGGTCTACTAAAGCTCGAAAATTTTCGTAAAACTGTAACCATCCCTCATACGAACCGCTGAATTGAGGTAAGGTTATCGCTTGTAATTTTGTTGCGTTATTTGTACTCGTAGTCGACATCATGTTCGTGTGTGTACTCTGCGACGATCCACTAGCATTTTGAGACGCGTTCTGTTCATGCTGTTCGATCATTTCTAACGCCACTGTCGCGAGACCGTAATATTCGTCTTCGAACGATTGTCTCTCGACTTCGCGCCCTGCATCTAGCTCCTCCAACTGCGACTGAACCGCCTGGAATTCGTCCCAGGTTGCATCGATATTTTTTACTCGTAATTTCAGCCTGGCGATGTTAATATTTCCGCTTTTTAGAAAATTCGAATTATTCCCTTTCAGTTGTCCCCTTCGAAGCACTAAACTTTTAATTTTCTCGTCGTTCGTTTTGTTGCTCTCTCCCGAATTGAACATTTTGAGTTTTCCGGATGTGAATTTACAACGCAATATTTTTGATATGTAAATAAATCGTTACTTTGCCCACTCGAATCTAGCATGCATGAATGGTATTAACTTGTAGGATACTAAGCAATGGATATGTAATAGGAAATTGGAATAGACCTGCTTGTTAACTTCTTGTGGTACTATCTGACAACGTTGCCTTCTGCTGCACTTCAATGGCTAACCTCTTCGCGTAATTATTTACTTTTTATTCCGATTATCACGAAATCCGTCTCGAAGGACCAAGAATTTTATGTTTATACCTAGTGGACTGTATTTAAATAAAGATTATGCACTTTTTACTTATTATTTATATATATTATTATCCGACGATAAATCGTGGTCACAGAGGAATTCGGTACTCATTA